TAAATAATTATTTACATTTATTACACTCCTTACTGTTTGGTGGTAGTAATGCATCAAAGTTTTTTTTTTTTTTTGCCAACCACCATTAAAATCAAAGAAGAAGAAGAACCAAAAATTGAGCAAGGGCTGTAGTGACCATAGTGACAGCGGCGGTTACTGCTCCTTTAATCCGCTCTCCTCCTCGTCTCACCTGCCGTGTTGCCCTCCTGCCTCCTTCCCCATTCTCTGCTTTGTTTTTATTGTTGCTCTCTCTCTGAATTTGGATCATGGCTGCCCATTCTGTTGACGAACCGTTCCCTTTCCACGGGCTTCTCCCCAAGAAAGAAACCGGCGCCTCTTCTTACCTCACCAGGTTCCCAGAGTATGACGGTCGAGGGGTGCTCATCGCTATACTCGACACCGGCGTGGACCCCGGGGCCCCCGGCATGCAGGTAAATGAGCTCTCCTGCCTCGTGCTAGCTGACCCGGGATGGTCGAAGCTAGCAATGCTAAAGGCCGACGTTACCAGATACCCGTAATATTACACTTCATAATTTTATTTAATAAACACAAGACATATAATTTAGGACATAACAACTGTTTTCTAACGATGTCAAAAGTGTTTGTATGCGTTCAACGATCCGCATATTAATGTTTTAGCATAAATGCTAACCGGGTGGCTAGTAGCAGCGTTTGTTCGTACGAAGTTGGCGTCCGAATAGTAGCTTTCGTGTCGGCAGAGAGCTTTTATGTTTTATTTAAATTAACCAGGCTCTCATGAAATAAGCTCTAGTTCTAAGTTAACAGTGCTCGCTATCAAACGTGATCTGCTTTGATGTATATAACTTAAGTATAAATACGTTTTGGGATCATCTGCCAATCCTGACTTGACAGCAAAGTACAGGAAGGGTTTCAGTGGGGTAGGGGACTTAATGGGGTCTAAAATGAAAAACGCTACACTGTAAAGTCCCTTTATGCACTTGAACTTGGAAGAATAAAAAAAAAGAACTATAAATATTAAGTGATTTCATTGCTGGATGATCGTTTCAGTCTTAACAAAATTAGTACATTCTGTCTTTTATATCACATGGAAGCAGGCCAGTCTCATTATTGTTGAAATTTATGCGGGACTGGATCCGTGCCAGCTACTAATATACCTATTATCTATAATTATTGTATAGTGATTCAGATTTTACAAGTTTTGGCATTATTATTTGAAAGGAGGCTCTGATTTAACGTGCTCAAAATGATTGAATGGCATTACTTATGGATTTGCTTATGAATGAATAAATTCATAGCTGCATATTATCTGTGTATTTTAGTTTTTTAAACAAGAATTGGTCCCAAGAATTGGTCCCAAATATCAAGGCTTCCTCAAAAAAAGAAGTGGATAACGAAAGAATAGAACTGTCAAATAGCTTTTAAATAAAGCTGCTACTCTGAAACTTTCATCTCATCCTCAAATTATCTGTAACGTTTGATTGGGAAAACGAAACTGAATACAGTCACAGGTTAATGGTTGAAAATTAGGAATGCCAGGTTATATTTCGATTGCGTTTTAAAAGATTTTGCTCTCCTTTTACAATGTACTCTCAGTTGAATTGAGACTGGCTTTGTTTGTTATCGGTATTCAAAGCACATATAATGTGTGGACAAAAAACCCCAAACGTATATTGCTTTTGTTTCAAACTGTTTTATTGAGGAAACATACCTGAAAATTCAGACATCAACAATTCAAATTTTTCCTCTTTTTTGATGTAAACATGAAACATAAAGATAACACAAAGTCAAAACGAAACATAACTGACATAAATAAACAGAAACACTTTCAGGACTCTTCCCTTCAGGACTTTTTCCTGGGACTTACATTTTTTCACACTGAGAATCAGATCCAGTTCTCTTCAAATAGAATTATCAATATATTGCCGAAGGGGTTGCCAAGTTCTATTGAATCGCTTTAAATTATTTGCTAAAGAAAACTGTATTTTTTCCAGATAAAAGAGCCTTACCACTTCCTCCAGCCACAGTTTAACCGACGGGACCTCTGAATTTTTTCCAGAACATCAACACTAGCTTTTTTTCCTATGATAAACGCATAAGATAAGAATTGTCGTTGGTATTTATTAAATTGAGAAAGCTGAACAGAAACTCAGAGTATAATCAAAAGTGGGTCCAGCCTCAATTCTGTATTAAAACATATCTGATAATGAATATTGTTTTTAACGGTACTCTATTATCTCCTTCCAGTTCCATCTTTTTTTATACAGTGCCACCAAGCAGCAGCGATTTGGGATAAAAAAGAAAAAATTTATCCAAACTAGAAACTAGCTGTATTTTTATTAAGTGTGTTTACGGGCTGCTCATTCTGTTACAGGTTTATTTTAACACAACAAATACAAAAATATACAACAACAAAAAAAATTTAAAAAAGGAAAAGTGTCTCCTCCAGGAGCTGTGTGCTTTCCATTAAACCATTTTTCATTTTTCAGTCTGTTTGATTTTGCCTATCCAGATAAACAACTGAATTACAATCAAATAACTATGTCTCATAAAACTGTAGGAATAACTGGAAAAGAGGAAACTATTCCCACTGGACTAAACAAGCAAGTTTACCTTGTTGGGTTTTGGCAGCCTTGTGTAGGTGGTTAACAATGTTACAAGCAGTGCAGGGTGTGCTTGTCTTTGCCCTCAGTCACCAGCACGAATATATCATTCATCTCTGTTTGTTGGACTGATGAATATCGGTTGGAAAATAGTTATATATCGCCCAACCTTAGTGTGGGATGTTAAAAAAGGTGTGGTCAAATGTAATAACTCAAAAATAGAAAAACAGTCAACAATAGCAAAGAGAACCACTGATCCATTTATTATTAACCTATTGGTACATAAACTTAAAAAAAAAAATAGACTGTTTCTGTCAGTCTGATTTTGTTGGACATTGTAGATACAAACCAATATTTATTTTTTCCCTCATATTGAAACAATTTCTGTTTTCCCTGACTGATCTTTTTTGACTCAAATTAAAACTGGCACACTAAAATACTGATTCACTTTGGCGAGTGGAATTTATGGTCATTGTTAATAATAATACGATCAAGTACCTTCATTAAACATTTGTATTTTTGTCCATTAAGATATATTATACCGAATGTTATATTTAAGAAGAATACGTCTCTATAAGGGAAATAAGTAATGTCAAGATTGAAATGATATAGATTACATCTAACTCATTTTATTGTAAGTAAACAAACCTTTGGATTGTTTGAGAATGACTCACACAGCTTGTATCTGTATCATAAATATAATGTATTGACCAAATTTAAGAAATGTGTTGTTCTATAGGTTTTGGCCATATCCTCCAGCCCACTCTGACTGTACTAATCTGTTAATGAACATGGGCTTTGCACCGTTGCAGTGTAAATTACTTGATCCATCACAGTGTTTTGTTTTTTTTGTTTTTTTTTGTTGTTTTTTTACTGCTTCTTTAGGTCACAACAGAAGGGAAGCCAAAGATTGTTGACATTATTGATACAACAGGCAGTGGTGACGTGAACATGACCACGGCTGTGGAGCCCAAAGATGGAACCATCACTGGCCTCTCTGGAAGAACGCTCAAGGTTGGGAAACGCCTTTTCAGATGTCAGGAGTTTTATTAGAGAAATGAATAACTTCAACTCTGAAAGTTTCCCTCACACAGTGTCCTACATCTAAGTTCACTTTTAGGTGATCTTGTGTCTCTAGCTGTGTCTTTTTATGTCTTTCAGATCCCGCCTGCCTGGGTCAACCCATCAGGGAAGTATCGCATTGGAGTTAAAAATGGCTATGAGTTCTTTCCCAAGGCTCTTAAGGAAAGAATACAGGTAGGGAGATGGGTGACAATGATTGCTGCTCTCGTTCTGTCAAAAGATAGGATGTTTTATTACTTTTGAGGTGTGCAAAGCGGAGCGTTAAACGCAAAGGGACTCACAGACACTAACATTGGTGTTATGTTAGCTGGTCACAAAAGGCTTTGCAGAGAAGTTGTCAAACCTTCAATGCAGATTGTAATCAATGTTAATGGAGATTTGGCAGGATGTTTGGTCGACACTAGCCACTTGAATACATCCTACCAATTTATATGTATTTTATTTGTTTTGTATGTTCCCCTGTTAGAAAGAGCGAAAAGAGAAGACGTGGGACCCAGCACACAGAGCAGCACTCGCTGAAGTCTGTCGCAAAACAGAAGAGTTTGATGTCGCTCATCCCACCCCCTCACAGGTCAGACCCACAAGCTCTAAATGTGCTCGTCTTGCTTGATGTGATATTTCTCCTGTCTGTGTTTAACGCATCCTTCATCTTCACCTCAGATAGAAAAGTTGCAGAAGGAAGACCTACAGTGTCAGTCAGAGCTGCTGGCATCTCTAGAAAAGAAGTACAGTGATCCGGGCCCGGTATATGACTGCGTGCTTTGGCATGATGGCGTCACATGGAAGTAATCAAAAGATTCACCTCTGTTTCTCCCCCTCATCTTCTACTTAGGTAAACTCATAATATAATACCATTCCCATCGGTTTTGTTGTTGTTTTTTTCTTCAGGGCGGTAGTAGACACGTCCGAGTGTGGAGATCTGTCTCAGTGCACTGTCTTGGGCTCATACAAAGAAAAACAAGAGTATGCCACTTTAGGAAATGCTGAGATGTTGAACTACTCTGTTAATATATATGACGAGGGAAACACCCTGTGCATCGTTACCAGTGGAGGTGAGTTTTCACAAAAATACAATCCGAAGCCTTTATACCTCTTTCTCAATTTGAGTGCCTAATGTTTGCCAGAGAAAGCAGATCTGTCACTTTACTCTTGAATTTCCAAAAAGGCTTCCGACATCTTCTATATACTGCATGTTCAACAACAGAAAGGATATAATCTTAAAATATTGCATGAAAAAACTATCTGTTCAGCTTGGTTTAATAGATCCAGGTCTATAAAGATGGAAATCTGCTAATTTCCTCTCATTACGTATGATTATAACTCCAATTGACGTCTCTCGTCTGAACTTAAAGGGGCTCATGGGACACATGTGGCAAGCATTGCAGCGGGTCACTTCCCAGAAGAACCAGAGAGAAACGGTGTGGCTCCAGGGGCCCAAATCCTGGCTCTGAAGATTGGAGACACACGCCTCAGCACCATGGAAACTGGCACCGGCCTCATCCGAGCGGTATTCCTTCAAAAAGATACCATATTATTAAGGCTGCAGGATGTCTTGCATGTTAGCATGCAATGTCTCCAACATTGCAACCAAAAACATTGTTTTGTTTTCTATCAAATCATAATCTTAATGCTAACTATATATTTGGTCAGTTTCATGGACTCTTGATGCTCTTTAGTCGCTGTGATGGTTAAGATTCCAGAGAGTGATTGGAGTACAATGAAGGAGAAAAAGATCAAAATAATTACAAAGAAACTCTTATTTTACCTGAGTTTTTTTCTTTTTAAAGTTTGTAATTCGTTTCTCTCTTTTGTGCCAAAGATGATTGAAGTAATCAACTACAAGTGTGACCTGGTTAATTATAGCTATGGGGAAGCCACTCACTGGCCTAATTCAGGGTAAGAATAGGTTTGCTCTCCTCAGATTTTCCTGGCATATATTTTGTCGTAGCACCCTGTTACTGAGTCCTATTGGGTCTTTCCTTCCAGGAGGATCTGTAAAGTGATCACAGAAGCGGTGCAGAAGCACAACGTGATTTTTGTGTCGAGTGCAGGAAATAACGGCCCCTGCCTCTCCACAGTGGGGTGCCCAGGAGGAACCACCAGCAGTGTTATAGGTACATGCTCTAAAGGCACCTGAATGTCACAGATGGTGCTTGCGCTTCAATTTCCGCCATCCTCTTTTTTTAGGAGTTGGAGCGTATGTGACTCCAGACATGATGGTGGCTGAGTATTCGCTGAGGGAAAAGCTGCCCCCTAACCAGTACACATGGTCATCCAGGGGCCCCAGCACTGACGGGGCCCTCGGGGTCAGCATCAGTGCTCCAGGTGGGGCCATTGCATCCGTACCCAACTGGACCCTCCGAGGTACCCAGCTGATGAACGGCACTTCTATGTCCTCGCCGAACGCCTGCGGAGGCATAGCGCTCGTACTGTCAGGTGTGTGTTCTTCTGAGTTGTGTGTGATGTGGGATAGAGGACAGTGTGTGTGGGTGAGAGAGGCAGAGCTGAAGGTTCTGTGTTATTTCTGCCTGATAAAGGTCTGAAGCAGAGTGGGATCAGTCCCTCTGTTCCTGCTGTGAGGAGAGCGCTGGAAAACACTGCTCAAAAGGTCGACAACATTGAAGTTTTTGCACAGGGTCATGGAATAATTCAGGTATTTCTGCAGGGGTTTGTTTCAATTTTTTTCCTCATTTAATGTTAATGTTTTTTGTGGAATATTCCACGTAATTATTATTTTGTCTCTCAGGTGGATAAAGCTTTAGACTACCTCACTCAACACGCCTCTCTGCCTACAAGTCACCTGGGCTTCTCTGTCAGTGTGGGTTCACAGAGAGGCATCTACCTCAGAGAACCAACCGAGGTTCTTGCACCTTCTGATCACGTGGTCGGTATCGAGCCCATCTTCCCAGAGGAAACAGGTAACAAAGCATAACTTTGTCGTTCTGCTCCAATTTACTTATATTTATTGTTTCCATTTTTTTAAAGATATCTTTTGTAATTTTTTATAGACAACTCGGAGCGAATCTCCTTGCAGCTCCACTTGGCCCTCACATGTGCCGCCCCTTGGGTCCAGTGCCCCTCCCATTTGGAGCTGATGAACCAGTGTCGGCACTTTAATGTCCGAATCGATCCTCTGGGACTGAGGGAGGGAGTCCACTACACGGAGGTGCAGAGAATGCAAAAAGAAGAAGGAAAATTAAAATGTGTTTGTAGATTAATGACCTTGCCTTTTTTTTTTTCCAGGTTTGTGGCTACGATACATCAGTGCCCACATGTGGCCCGCTGTTTAGAGTTCCGATTACGGTCATCATCCCTACCAAGTGAGCTCACAATGAGAAGTTTTTATTTCTTTGTATTTTTTATTTTTCTGGGATGGTTTAGACTCTTATATCCTTGTCCCTCTTTGCTCTGATAGGGTGACCGATAGCCGTAATCAGGAAGTGAGATTCTCAGATGTCCACTTTAGACCGGGACAGATCAGACGCCACTTCATCACTGTTCCTCAGGGAGCCTCCTGGGCAGGTCAGTGAAATATGCCATTTCTGATGACAGTTATGCAAATTTTTATTATTCTGGATTAGTTTTTTTTTTTAATTATTATTATTTGAATTAAGCTGTTTTGAAAATGAAAGGAAACAATCTAAAAGCCCCCAGGGTTCTATTTATTTATTTTTTTAAGGTTTTAATCTGAAGCAATTTTGTTTGAGGTTATTTGAGCTGTAATGGATCTGGCCCAATCTCAGACAGATTGTAAACGGATCCTTATAGTTGGTTATGGTGTTCAAGTCTGTAGGATATGACACCATGGCAGCAGATATTAACAGTTTAGAATTTCACTAGAGATCTGTGTTAGGTTTGGTGCTGGTTTTCATCCAAACAATGTCTTGTTTTTAGTGGAAATGGATCCCACATTACAGAAGGCTTTTCCTTGGCTTTCTGTGTTCTTTATAGAAGTTATTTCCAAGGCTCCTATTTTATCTAAATAGGCCACATCTTATGTTCCCTGGGAAGTTGAATAAACATCATATGCCTAACATACCATGTAAACATTCGCTATAAGTTCCTAAGAATATCATTGCTAGTTTCAGTAATGATTACAGCCATGTTCTCACATTGAAATCACAGTAAAATCTGAATGCTAACACAGCGTTAGCTTGTGCTTTAATGAGCTCCAGCGTCTTCCTAGAGCTTTTCATGCCTTGTCCCTCTTAGCATCCAATATTTGTTTTACACTTTTTCACACTTGATCTTTGTCTTTTCTTCTTTCTTTTCTCACCTTCACTCAGTATCACTGACTTGCTGCTATTCATTGCTTTGTTTTTCACTGTTTGGATGAATGCACGATATCTTTTGTCATGTGGTTTACTTGCAAAAATATACAGAGTTTCTGTTGGTCATTAAAGTCTTTAAATTAATTAAGTCGTTTTTTTTTTTCATTATTATTAAGGCCTTAAGTAGTATTAAAATTGATTGACTGCGATTACCATGTTTTCCTTTTCCTGAAACGTATTTTTAAAATAGGCATATTAAAATCCCCTGAGTTCTGCTTTTGGAGACACTGTGCAGGCTGGTCATGAAGCGAGGCTCTGCTTTGTAGCCATGTTTTTTTTGTTTTGTTTTTTTTACTTTTCATAATCAGTCCCAGTCAAATGTGGGACATTGTTTCGGTTTGTGGGGCTCAGAGACAATTGGGGACAAATCTGCACAAATTGGGTCTGCTCACCCTATGAGTAGCAGGAGGTTTTCTACACACTGCAGTCAGTGTGCGATGGGAAAACAATGGGATCTGAGATCAAAAAGTCGGACACAGCTGGTGTGACTCGGGCTTAATCTAATAAACTATTAATCGACAATTAATTGCAAGTTTGATTATCTGGTCCCTAACAGATGATAAACCATACTTGTTATTTGTTTTGGATTCAGTTCCAGAATGCTTTGAAAACTCTAATTGAAATAAAAAAGGTCAGAGAATTGAATAAACATGCTGTGGTTTCATGATAATCTGCATAAAGCTCTTTTCATGGTTTCCCCACAGAGGTCACTTTGACTTCGCATTCAGGAGACGTCTCATCCAAGTTTGTTCTTCACGCGGTGCACCTGGTCAAACAGAGGGCCTACAGGGCTAATGAGTTCTACAAGTTCTCCTCCCTACTAGAAAAAGGTTCCCTAACAGAGGCTTTCCCGGTGCTGGTATGTATTTAATACAGTTTGGTTTTTTTTATATCACATTCACCTAAAAACGCTCTGGAATCAGCAGAAAACCATCCGTTTTTATTTTCTGTGTTCCTCCCTGCTCTGCAGTCAGGCAGGGTTGTAGAGTTTTGCATAGCACGATGGTGGGCGAGCCTCGGGGATGTGACGGTGGACTACATCATCTCCTTCCATGGCCTCAGTGTTACTCCTTCTCCCTTGCACATTGTGAGAACAATTTTCACACATAACCAGTAGTAGATAAACAGAAATGGTTCTGTTTTGTTTTTGACTGGGATTCCTCTTTGTGCAGCACGCCTCTGAGGGAGTGGTTAGTTTTGATGCGTCATCACCCATGAGATATGAGGAGGTGTCCCCCACTGTCACCCTTAAGTCGTGGGTTCAGCCTCTGAGGTGAGCTCACAGGGGATATCAAACAGTCTGTTCATTTTAAAGTGCTGTTTTTTAATTATTTGTTTCATAATTAGGCCTCTAAATTCAAAGATAAAAGCTTTGGGAGCGCGGGATGTTCTCCCTAATAACAGGCAGCTCTATGAAATTGTCCTCACCTACAGCTTTCACCAGGTATTGGCCAAATTTCTGCACATTGGAGCTTAGAAATCTCTTGTTTTATTAATATATAACATTTTATTTCTTCGTAATTAGCCTAAAGGAGGGGAGGTTACGCCCAGTTGTCCGATGCTGTGTGAGCTTCTGTATGAGTCTGAGTTTGACAGTCAGCTGTGGATGCTTTATGACCAGAACAAGAGACTGTTGGGTTCAGGGGACGCCTACCCACACCAGGTAAGACATATAATGATTATACATTACAAGCTGTTGAGATTTGGCCAGATATCAATCAGATTTCTTTTTTCTCTCCCAGTATTCCCTGAAGCTAGAAAAGGGGGATTACACAGTACGCCTGCAGGTTCGCCATGAGCAGTCTAGTGAGCTGGAACGCCTGAAAGATTTGCCCTTTGTGGTTTCTCATCGTCTGTCCAACACCATCAACCTGGACATTTACGAGTCGCACCGTGCTGCTCTTATGGCAAAGAAGAAAGCGAACTCTCTTACTTTGTGTCCAGGAGCCACGCAGCCTTTCTATGTCACAACCCTGCCTGACGACAAGTGAGTCGGACGAGCAAAGCTGATTTCCCTTTGCTGACTCAACTATACCATTGAAGCTTCATTTCTGTTAATCCTTTAAAAGCGTCATATCTGACTTTTCCAACATTTTCCAACTTTTTCAACAGTTATGGCATGTTTTATTTTTTCCTCCCATCATTTATCAATTGTACTTTACTTTTCAGGATCCCCAAGGGTACGAGTCCAGGATGTTACCTCTCAGGCTCTCTTGTTGTGTCTAAAAGCGAGTATGGCAAGAAAGCAGTGAGTAGCTCTGTTTTTGCTTCAGCCTTATATTTCCAAATGTGTTCTTCGGGACCAAAAGCTGCACTGGGTTTCAGTTTTTCCTGGTGAGAAGACAGGAATAATAAATGAGACCCCCCCCCATACAAGATCAGGGTGGCTGACTAAAACAGACTAGTGACCAGCTGCAGTTTAACGGGTCCTGCAGAACCAGCCTGGCCAACCCTGTCATCCTGTGTTAGTTTTTCTTTCTTAGTCATACTGACTCTGACATTTGCTCTTGCTCCTGGATCTGATTGCTTTTGGGTTCTTTGGTTCTTTCTCTGTATTTTTTTGTCCTTGTTGGGAAATGGACCTGTATGAGATTCTGACTAATGGTTCTTTATCAATCTGATTTCTTCAGAACTTAACTTTCAGGGACCTTTAATCTAACAAGGCAATTTTTGAGCCCCCCTTATTGTGGCTCTGAAAGCCAGGTACTTTTTGTAGATTATGCTCCCCTAGACTGAGCAGGTCCTCATTCTGAGGAAACTCATCTCTACCCACTGCAAAAGCTAAGTCCAGAATCGGGTGTTTGAAAAACAAAAAGATGAATGCAGAGAAATACAGCACAATTCTGAAGCGCTTGTTTGTTAAAATCCACAAACTATTAATCCAAACGGCAATAAGGTCTAGCTACATTGAAAAGAAATGCACTGAACTTAAAAAATAAACTCCAAAAAGGAATTGAAGAAAGCTCTAATCGTCAATTACAATCCGTTATCTGAAGTAATACTTTAAGTGTCATGGTGGTTTAGTTCTGAAGCTAAAGTAAAAAAATCCCTTACTGATTTGGAACCACCTATAGATCTTACAGCAATGTGTCACTGATAAACGTTTTGCTTAGAAAAAAAAACACAGAACTAAGGTTAAACTGAGCAAATGAGCAGCAGAGGAAAAACTGAAATAAAATGCTGTCGATGTATTAACAGCTAAAAATCTTGTCCTCCTGCTGCCTTTAGTTCAGGAAAAGTCTTATAAGTCCTCCCAAATTTGCATTTGCAATATAATCCCAGTAAAAAAAAGAAGCAATTTCTAAAAACAAAATTACTTGATTTTTGGTCAAGTTACATTTTAATTGTAAATAGGGCTGAAACTGATTATTTTGCAAATTGATTAATCCAAGTAGATTTTTTTTTTTCAATTAATTTATTAATAATCGGATAGCCAAAGATTTCTTATAGATTTTTTATTTTGATATAGTTACTGCTCTAAGTGGGTTGCTTTCTTGGCTAAAGGCATGTTTTAAAGTCTCTATACTCCATTTAACGATGAATCGATTACTAAATTGGTTGATAATTATTTCAGTAATAGACTAATCACAATTAATCTGATTAGTTGTTTCAGCCCTAATTGTACCTCTTAAGTTTAATTTAATGAGTTGCAGCTAGTGTTCAAATTCTTGCATGAAAGCAAGACGTAAGCACTTTCTAAGGCAAACGTAAAATCCTCTAACATGAGGTCTAGAGAAGATGCCACTGAAAGCCATGAAAACGATAAAACTGAAATAATTCCTATATGCTTAATGCTTGCATATATGCTTGTGATCAATGTAGAGGAAAATCAAAATAAAATCATAATCAAATTTTTGTGAAAAAAAAAAAAAAAGAACAGCAAAAAATGAAACACAATTTTTCTATTTTTGGCAACATCGCCCATCCCTAGCGATAATGGGGTATGGCGGTGAAGCACAAAGCTGACCCATGCTTGAATCCTGGCTCATAAACCTTTGCTTCATGTCCTCCCCCTTTTTCTTCAAATCTAATAAAGGCCACTAATATCACAAAACTAATATAAAAAAAGGCAATCAGTTATATTGAAAATATTTTTTTTCTCAATTTCCTGGCAGATTTGATTTAAGTGTTGTGCTCCCTCACATCTGTCTGTTTATTTTAACTCCTGTAGGGACACAAGTTATTGCGGGTGAAAACACCTTAATTGGAGTTTGGGGCTTTGTTATGAAACATGCAGCTGTGATTCTACTGCTTTGATTATTAAGAAATCCACATGACATTTCCAGTGTTATAATTACAATTCCCCCACTGTTTTCTTTAAGCTTTTGTTTATCAACCACTAAAATATATGCGTGCTGTAAATTAGAATTTATTTAAAAAATTCCAACTTTCTAAATAGGTTATGGACTAAAAGATCCTAAATGGATGGTACTTAAGGATTATTGCATCTTATCAGTTCTTGGCATTTATGTTGTGTTGATAGATGGTGTTTGATATATAATGCAGCTCCAATAACCCTCAACTTGCTAAACGTGTCACTTTCATCTGTGCATTTTTACCTTAGTTTTCTAAGTACAAGTGGGAGAAAAATATATATTTGTAGGTTTTGTTTTTGTCTGACAAAAGAAACAAATCAGATTTTTTTAACATGAGAAACAGCAAGGACTAAACGGTAAAGTCTTTAATTTTGTGTTGTTTGTTGTTATATCCAAAAAATGAGGCCCCGAGGGTCTGAAGATGAAAGACAAATAAAAAAGAAGATCCATTTCTGGTTGTTTATGTTATCTGTTCCTTACTGTGTGTTATTTTGACCACCAGGCGCTGGCCTCTGCACACCGACAACGAAAATTTAAAAAGGTACTGAATGAGTTAGAAACACTTGACACAGAGCGCCTGCTGTTCTCCTTACTTAGGGATATTATTTCTAATTTTCTATAAAATATTTGATCTGTCATGTCAAAGCATGTTAATGTAATGAAATATAAAAAAAAAAAGCATAAAAGGGCTTGCTGATGGGTGTTTCGCGTCACTTCCTATTTTCGTTGCTGCAGATCTGCGTTGTGGATTGTGTTTCTCACACACTCAAGTTGATCTTGATTATCTTTTCTGAATTAGTCTAACTGAACATAAGTATGTTTAAAAACATTTTCTACTGCTGCACCTTTCTATTAGGGACTCTTGGTGTTTACGTGATTTTTGTTTTTTGGTTGCAACACCTTGCTAGCCTAACATTAGCTTTGACCAACTGTTGCTTCCTTCTTTGTTTCCCCAGATCCTCTTCAGTCTTTTCCTCCCTCCTGTTCTCTTTGTCAGACACAGAGTAGGTTTACAGACACTTAGTGATCCTCCATTCTGAGCAGCCAATCATGAATGGATGACTGGAAGTGTGACAATATGTGTAACAGAAGTGTTGTGCTAGATCCTTGCCCATTGATCTCCACCAACAACATAGAAGTTTCTAACCTATTTTCATCTCTCAGCAACACACCCACTGAGAAACTGACTGGTAATTAGCAGCTTCATAATCAGGTAGACCCGAACATGGCCCTATAGACACCAAGGACCATAGTTGAGTGTTTTCCAGGGGCCAGAACGGGCCACAACAATTTCTACTTGAAATTTCTAATTTAGAACAAGGCTAAGTACAGTTAGATTCTTATTAAAACTGGCTTTAATGACTCCCAGTTATTATAATAACTAATTATAATTTATTAATTCTCCAAAAGTATTACAGCCAGGCTCCAGATCGGGAAACAGATTCTCTACCGTTACCTACTCATTATTCAGGCAGTTTTGCTCACGGCCAAAATCAAATAATTGGAAAATAATCTTAAAGGAGTAAATCATAATAATTTCAATACAATTCATAATTTAAACTTAAATTGAGAAGAAATTTAAACCAAATGTCTTTTATTAAACATAGACCTTTCCTTAAAGACAGCTAGTTAACGACTTGATTTGTGATGATTAGATTTATTTATCCTTGTTCTACAGAAACCTGGCTAGAGCAAAAGGGGTTATATTAGTATAAATGTGTCAGCTCCTTCTATTCCTTTAATTCTAATAAAATTCTATAAGATAAAAATTCTGAGTAAGTAGGAGTAGCAACATTCTCTAGTTTCATCTAGAGCTACGTCCTTTTAAGCACAATGCTATGAAACTGGAGAGAAAATGGTGCTTTACACATGTCTAACAGCTCATCATAGCACTGAGATAGCACTGAGACAGCACTGGTTGAAGTCACCAGTAACATTCTCATGGCCTCAGATAATGGGCTTTTATCTGTACTTGTATTGTTAGATCTCATTGGTGCATTTGATACAGTTTATCATATTCTTTTGACAAGGCTTGAATGTTTGGTGTTAATTAAGGGAATTGCTCTAGACTGGTTTAAATCTTCTTTTTTCCAGCAACTTCCAGTTTGTTCATAATGATGTTAAATATTGAAGATCCATGGTTACTGGTGCAGTACCACCGGGGTCAGTGTTGGTGCCAAATCTATTGATTATTTTTCCAATTGGTAAACTAGTCAGAGAGATTGGGGTTAATTTCCACTGTTATGCTGATGATATCCTGATGTTCTGCTTTTGAATTCAGAGTCTTTAAGCAAAAAGTTGTTTAGAAAGTCACTTCATTTAGATTGCATTGTATTGGCTTGTAGTAATAATGTAAAAAATATAAATTCATATGTATGTTTGGAAAGATATGATTAATAGAATAATTTTGAAAGGAATATCACACGGCTGAAATGAAGAGTTGCTGGGATATGTGTTTAAAATCTTACAAAAAAATTTTAAAAAACAAAAAAAAAATTTTAATACCATTATTTTGTTGCATTCTGTCACTTAAAAAGAAAAAAAAAAACATTTAGAAAATGATGCTGCATTGGCTGACAATGCAGACAGGAGTAAAACATCTGACGTTTCCATAGATATGTTTTAGTCACCATCATAGTCTGAGTCAGAAGAACATCAGAGTCATCAGGTAGCTGAGCATCAGTATAGAGCGCAGCTGTGTTAGTGCTGCTAGGGGAGCTGACAGTACAGTGCTGCAGTAAAAATAGGAAATAAAAATAAGATATAAAGGTGAGTCAGAGCAGCACGGAGGAGTGGCAACGGACGCACCTGATTATTTTTTTTAGAACTTGAAGATACCACCTTGTTTGTTATTTTTTTCCACCTTACAATCTGCTTCCAATATGTCTTATGCTTTTACTTTTGAGATTTCTGTTTTTAGTTGTTAAATAATAAAATCCAAAAGAGGGGCAGCGCACTATATGAAACAATTTGACATCTGAATTATAAAAGGAGCTTAAATTCGTCCAACTTTATATCAAAACAAATCTAAAATGACAAATTTCAAATAAAGTACAATACAAAAATTGAAATGCTGTTGTGTTGATGTACTTTTAATGATGTGCAGCTGTGATGTTATTCTTAGAAATGACACTTTCTTTATGGGCAGAACTTGTTTCCTTATTGTTTTATCTGCTTTCTAGGAAATAAAATCAGCACTATTGGCCTTTGTATCCTATCTCTTGTTTTGATCATACCTCACATTACCTGCTAAGCCTTGATCCGTTTGGCATTAATATTTTCTTTAACGATATTTAAAGAAAGTTCCTTTTTGTTAACAATTGAACCTGACTTTGGACTGTCTAAATCAAACAAAGAACTATGCCCATTTTGTATTTTATTAGTTCTTTAATCACAATTCAGTTCAGTTTATACAATACAATACTGCTTGATTTATTATCATTTTTTTATATGCTTTTCTTCCACTTTATGTATTTCATAGAAATGCATGTAACATGTAATTTAAATTCCATATTAAACATGAGTCTAGAATTTAACTCTTTCTTCTTCAGAGTATGCCAAAAGTAATAAATATCTTGTCCAGGATAAAAAAAAAAAAAAAATAGTCCATGAATGTATTACTTCATGGCTGGACTATTTTAATTATTTAGTATCAGGATGTCCAAAAAATTCAGTAAAAGGTTTTCACCTTATTCACAGTATTGCAATTAGATATCTTATGAAAACTAAAGAGAGATTGTAACTCACAATTTAGCTTACCTTTATGGCTCCCTGATACACTGACGAAAATAAGTATTTGAACACCCTGCTATTTTGCAAGTTCACCTGCTTAGAAATCATGAAGGGGTCCTTCTCCTTTTCACATATAACAACCTCTATATCAGAGTCCATCTTGTCTCAGAGATCTGATTTTACCATATGTTTATGATGAAATACTTTCCTGTTAATTTACACGTTCACTTGTGGTTCCTCAAATTTCAAAAATAACTGGAGGCCGATATTTTAGTTGTCTGGCTCTTCTACTGTGGAACCAACTTTCAGTTTTAGTCCGTGATGCAGACACCCTATCTATTTTTAAGGCTAGGCTACAACGCTTATTTTTTGATCAAGTTTTTTGTTGGAGTGGTTCTGGTTATGGTAAGCTATTCCTATAGTTATGCTGCTATAGGCTTAGGCTGCTGGAGGACATGGGGACCATTTCGCATCATTCTGCTTCTATTCTCAAATTTTGCATTGTTCGTTCAGTTTCAACTTAGTATTTTGCTCTTTCAGGTCATAGTAGCTACATCTAGCCTTGTGCTTTGTTTAGCTGTAACACCATCCTGGAAGCAGACATCAGGTGGGCTGCTGCTGTCAACGACTTCAGTTTTTTTAGTCTGTTTTCTCTCCTAGACATGGGCTCAGCTTTTACTATGAGCAATTCTGTGCTCTCAGAAGTCTGCTTATCTGTTCCTATAGTCAGAGCCCCCTAGCTAGTTTTACTGTTACATTTTCTAACAGAATGTATTCATGGATCAGTGCTATGTTCCTTTTGAGTGTCTGCTTCTGTCCTCTTTAACTCCAGGCAGCCACAGCCTCCTTGTTCTGCTGGAGGTTTCCTCTTGTTTCTCCACCGTTGTTGCATGCATGCTTGGTGTGAGGGAATTTCTGCAGGGTCAACGACACAATGCTAGTGAATGTCTACTGTTGCCATATGCTCATCCAGTAGGAATCAATCCTGCTAAGTCAATGATTGGATGCAGTCAGCTGGATTTTCTAAAATGGAAAACTTTTCACCAATCTGACTGGAGGATTTGATTGAACTGTCTCTATGAAATGGCTTGAGATAAAATGTAGCTACATGTAGATCAACTGAATTAAATAAAAACTCATGGGTTATTAAAATTATTTATGTCTAATGATCTAAGGAGCAAACACCTTACCTCTAGACACAGCGTTAACAGGAGGAGACTGAGCTTGGGAGAAGTTGGTTTTATTCTAACTTTATTTTGTTGTGTCTTCATTTAGGATGTTGTCCCAGTCATCTACCACCTAATTCCTGCTCCCAACAAATCTAAAAATGGTGGGAAGGAGAAGGACAAGGATGGAGAGAAAGAAAAAGATGTTAAAGAAGAGTTTGCAGAAGCCATCAGAGACCTAAAGATTCAGTGGATGACAAAGTGAGCAGTGTTTCTCTCAGGTTTCATACAATCTCTCCTCTGCATTCCTCTGTCGTTTATGTCATATCTTGTCTCCATAGGTTGGAATCGAGCTCTGTCTATGATGAGTTGTTAGAAAATTACTCTGATTACCTTCCACTGCATGTGCAAAGACTACATCAGCTGGACTCTGAGAAGGTACACACCAGGAGAAAGTGTTGATAAATGGTGTTAAGTCAAAGCTCTGCAACCATCTTTCTTCATACTCTTATCTCTCCTGGTTTGTGTTCAGGAACGAGTAAAGCGCCTCAAAGAGGTGGTGTCAGCAGCAGACATCGTTATGTCCCATATCGACCAAACAGCATTAGCTGTGTATCTCACCATGAAGACAGACCCCCGTCCAGATGCCGCCTCCATCAAAACGTGTGTATCACTGAAAGATGGGTTTTCATCCTCATAAATGAAAAGACACGCAGATGGAGGCAACATGCCCCGCCTCCTTTCAAACACTGCTGACTAGTGACGGCATCTGTTTTTCAGTGACATGGAGAAGCAGAAGTCGTCTCTTCTGGATGCTCTGTGTAGAAAAGGCTGCGCTCTAGCTGACCAGCTCCTCCTGCCGTCCACGCTGCAGGGCGCCGCCGGTGCTGTAGCTACAGAGCAGGCTGCTGCAGGAGAGGAGGAAGTCGGGGAGCAGATGGCCAGCAGCTCTGACGACGCCCTGGAGAACATATCAAACGCACTGATGGATACATTCTGGGAGGTGCAGAAGTGGGCAGAGCTGACTGACTCCAAGGTTAGAAGTCATAATCAGTAGTGGTTGAAAGTTTACATAATCTTCCATTAAAGACAAAAAAAAAACAATCAGCTGCCTGTAATACATAATGAAATCGACAAAAGTAGTAATCAAGATAGTAAAAAATGGAACTCATAATCTGTAAAGATTCTCTGTCTTCCAGGTCAAGCTTGAAAAGTTCAGTTTAGACAACTGGATGTGAAGTTTTCTAGAAGACATTTTTTCTCTAATCCATGAGATCATGACATTGACTTAAAACATTTTTAGAAGCATCTGCACTGATCCGTCTATTAATATTGTGTGCCTTTCTCCCCCTGTTCCACTCGTGCACAGGACCACACAATACTTGAGCTCCTCCTCTTTAGGCAGGAACTCTCCTCCTACCTGAAAGTAGTAGGGAACCTTTTTAAAGTCAGGAACTATGGCATCAGGCTTTGACGAGCTGATCTTTTTCCCCCAGCCTTAAGATGCATGTCGACCATGTCAGGCAAGGACCGGAGGAGATCCTCATCCCTCCCTGTCTCATCCCTCATTGTCTTTAGTCTGGTTGATAAGCAGTCTGATCCAGAGCATTCAGTCTCTGCTTCCACCGGTGAAGGTGTTACAGCCACATTCAGTAGATCTTCGGGTTGTTTCCTTTATGGCTGGGCAATTAAATGTCTTGGCATTATAATCACAATTTAGGAAAACGCAATTTTTAAATTGCAGAGGTGCTCAGTTTTTTCACAATACATTTAACAAAAGAAAGACACTTGTATTTCTCCCTCCATCCTCTAGGTGGCAGTAATACGATTAAAGTGGGTATGCTTTCACACCTAAAGGAACAGACAATTGCAGTTAGCACCTAGATCTATTTATTGAAGTAGAAGAAAGAACTTTTTCATGCAAATGTTACAGTAAAGTCATGTAACACTGGGTTCTGGACAAGCAGGTGTTTAAGGTCATTAAAAAAAAACTGAAACCCTGGAGTAAAACACAGACATGCTTGTGCTTATTGCAAAGGAAAATCGCAATAAAATCCCAATATCGGTTGAAAATAATCGCAACTTTCATTTTTTGCAAACTCGTTCAGCCCTAGTTTCTTCCACCAATGTCCTCAGTCAAGTTCAGCGGTTCCCCACTCTCACTGTAGAAAGTGTTGGGAAGCTCTACTTCCACCTGCTGATGAGCTGAATAGTTAGCCAAGATCCCTTCAAAGCGGTCACTTGCCTCCTTTTTTGACCATCATAAGGTCTTTTAAACTGCTCGTTGTCTGACCGCCACCCAGAGGCTGTTTGCTTTGATCGCTCCCACCAGGGGGATTTAAGCCTCTGGGATCATCTGAGCAATTAAACGTTCAAAAAGATGAACTCTATTAAACTCAGTGTCGTGTCCAGGAATCCTGCATGTTTATATAACTATGGCGTCCTCCATTTATCTAAGATGAGCTAGAAGGACATCTTGGAAATGTTTTGTTGTGTTCAGAATTTATCTAGACTGTTAAACTTTACTTTTAGCTATAGTCTCATGGTATAGTTGTTCTCTGCAATTCTTAAAACACAATCTCTGAATACAGCCTCACAATAACCTGTGTATTATACAAGGTGTGTTGTGCAACATGCATGACTCATGGAAAGCCCACGGTCTCTGTATCTGTAATGTTTAGTCACTTTTAAGCACTACAGTGGTGTTTGAGTCAGAATCATAACTGTTCAATTGAAGCATCAGTGGTTTCTGTTAATGTCCTGTTCACTTCTCAGCTGACCGTTCTCTCTCGGTTGTGGGGATATGCTCTATGTATGGCTCTGATCTGAGCACTGCAGACAGATTTTAACTACAGGCATGAATAGTCATTAACAGTTTTCCTGTTACAGGAAAGTAAGAGAACCTCTTGCAAAAATAACACTTGGATTTAACATTTAAATATAATAAACAGAATCCTCTCCACAATTTGGTGGAGATTAAAAAGGGTTGAATTTCTGAGGTTTTGGTGAATTGAAATAGATGAACTGAAAAAGCATGCCTGTTCTAGAAGCTTTTGACATAACAGGCTTTGTTTGTCGTCCTTTTCTGTCCTCTCTGAAGGTTTTGATGTTTTCATACAAGCATGCTCTGGCAAACAAGATGTACGGCCGAGCCCTAAAATATGCCTCTAAGATTGTTGAGGAGAAGCCCAGCAAGGATAACATGAAGAACTGCATCCAGGTATGAAGAGCTATGGTTGCTGATCCTTGGTATTTATAAACATGTTTTCTATGGTTGAAAATCATGGCCCGTGTTTCTATTTTTCAGATCATGCGCCACCTCGGCTGGATGCACTGCGCCGCTTTCAGTGAGAACTGGCTTCCTGTCATGTACCCAGCAGATTATACCCCCTTCTAGGCACAGCCATGGGACGGCATGGCCTCGCACGGTCCACTGAAGGACAGTTTTGATATCAGGGTCACATGGTCTATGCATCTGACCAGCCAGCTGCCTCCTGACACCTTTTCTTTGAAGGCACATGTGGGTGAATACCAACATTGGAGCTGACCTGGAGCCTAGATATTTTTGATGCATGCCAAACTTTGTAAGGTGATGGTTTTGAATTGAAACTTTTTATTAATATCTGAAATATCAGTTAAAAATATGTAAAGCTATAATCAATGGCCAGCATCAAGTTGTTTCCTTCTTCAGTTTTTTTTTTTTTTTTGTCAGCTACAAATTTGGAGGCTGAAGTATCGACTCCTCCCAGAACGCACAACTCTTTATCATTTTAGAATCTTTTTTTTTCACCTGCAAATACTGTTAAAACTGGCATCAGCGACTCCAGGGAATAGAATACTTAAAATGGTCGTTAAAATACTTCAGTGAGAAGAGGGACTGGTTGGCTGCTGCAAAAACTGATCCCCAATAAAAGGAAGGATTGGACTTCATATCAGCCCATTTTTCTCCCCCTTCCTTTTCTTGAATAGTTCAGCCTTCCTGGGGGTTTACAGTCCGGTTTTTGGACACTGAAAATGTCATGGTGCCTTTCTTTATGTACCTTACCCTTTTCAGATGGAGCTAAAAGGAACAGCGGCAGGGTTTCCACCCTGCAGAGTTTGTAGCACCCATCCTCTCTTGCAGCCTTTTCACTCAAGAGTCGAACGACGCATCATGATTCATCCAAGCACCATGTGCTTTCCACATTTAGCCTCCATTTCACAAGACTTCACCGACAGAAACATGCCTGTTATACAACAAAACGTTTGCTCTGCATCATTGAACTTTCTCTGCAGTGTTTAGAATGCTGCTCAAGTACACGGTGTCATAACATAATGTAAATACACTCGTACTATAAAGACATGAACATGCAATAGGGATATAACAGAATTTATCTTTATGTATTTTGCATATATGCATGTCTTCTAGCTTATACGGAAAGTTGACTTTAACACCGAAAATGATTTTTTTAGGTTGTTTCAGTTTCAAAGGTTTTTTTTCTGAGTCGTGCTTTTGAAAAACGTCCACAGTTGAGTGTGTTTGTGTTTTTAAATGAGTGTGCGTTTTTGTTAAGATACATTTCCCACCTGAGCATTTCTCCCACTACATTTGAAAACAAAAATAAAATAACTGCCTTTTAACGGGCATGTGTTGGAAAGGACCACACCAGTAGGATCAGCTGATTTTTAAACTGAGTCTCACTGTTGGTCAACTTAACATTTACTAATTTTTTTTAAATATGGCCATCTTTGAAGACTGATAAATTTCTGATTGGATGCAGCTTAAATATACCAAATTTCACAAAATACATAAGATATCCATTATTTGCTTCTCTGAAAGTCATCAAAAAATTATTTTAAAAATAGAGTTTACAGATACTTTTTTTTTTTTAAGGACTGAACAACTTTTGGCCTGAATCAAGCTATAGATAAAGCTTGGAAATTATATAAATTTATGTTCATGTTGCTGTTTTTTTGTGTGTGTTTTGCTTGATGTTTTATAAAGCAGAGATATGATCTATTTTTCTTGGTTTAACCAAAGAATTAGTTTTCTTAAGCTGGTTTCAATTTCAGTATGTTAAATTGGAGGGATATTTATTAGGTGGAAGAAAAAATACATTTTTTTCAAACTTGTTAAGAGGAAGGCTTTGGTTTTAACCTTTCATTATTTTTGTCTCTGTTGGCTGAAAGGTTTACATTAGAATGTAAAGCATCTGCTTCAGGGCTTCTAGACTTCTGAAGAGTGTGATGGTGAATTGGGTGTGAGATCTTGTGATTCTGTTTTTAGCTGGAAATTGTATCACTTTCTGCATTTGCCACAGTACAGACCTCTTCAGTCTGTTGGATGGAATGATTAGTGACAGCCTTTTTATTTCTGTCGTCTTTGGTGCATTTCTTATTTAAACATATGCACTGCTCACTGGTATGTGTTGCCAATCACGGTCTCTCCAAAAATGGCCTTAATTTTTCACCACAGGACTTCACCTTTGACCTCTGACACCAAACGTATATCTGTTGCTGTCGCTGGTGTTTGGAAGAACTTCAGGAATGCTCGCTATGGATGTTGAGTGTTTATATTTATAGCCATAAAATCTAGTAAATCCTATTCCTTAACTGAATGTTTTGAGTTAAAGATGTACTCTCTTGACATTTTTATCCTTTTCGGGATTATGTGAGAAAAACGTGAGCAATTGTTAAATCTTTTTGAGCTCACATGGAAAAGTCGAAGAAAGTTCACTGAATAAAATAATAAAACAGACTTCCTTTTGTCCCTTTTGTATTAAGAGATCACAAATTACACATTTCACAAAAATGGTTACAATTTACAGTTTGGTTTACATTGTAATGATTAACTGCCATCAAAAGCAGTGTTTTATTTAACATTCAAAATCTAAGACCAGCATGAGATTAATTTCCACAGTAATGCTGATGATACTCAGCTATACTGTATCCATCTATAAATGCAGATGAAACAAATCCGTTACATAAACTACAGGCATGTCTTGTAGACATAAAACCAGGACGACTTAACTTTCTGCTACTGAATGGAGACAAAACAGAAGTTACCATCTTTGGACCAGAGTATTTGAAGAAG